GAACTACATCAAACTCAAAAGCTTCTGCACAGCAAAAGATACAATCATCAAAATGGAAATGCAACCCATTGTATGGGAGAGCATAATTACCAATGATACATCAGATAAGGAGTTAATTTCCAATATATATAGAGTGCTCATACAACTCAACAAAAGGAAGACAAAGAACCCAATTAAAAAATGAGCAGAGGAACTAAATAGACACCTCTCCAAACAGGACATACAAATGGCTAAGAGACATATGAAGAAATGCTCAACATCACTAATCATCAGAGAGATGCAAATTAAAATAACAATGAGGTATCACCTCACACCTGTAAGAATGGCTGCCATCATCAAATCATCAAACAACAAGTGTTGTCAAGGGTGTGGAGAAAAGGGGACTGTAGTGCACTGCTGGTGAGAATGCGGACTGGTGCAGCCACTATGGAAAACAATATGGTGTTACCTCAAAAAATTAAAAATTTAATTGCCATTTGACCCAGTGATCCCACTTCTAGGACCATACTCTAAGAAGCCTGAAACACCAATCAGAAAGAATATATGTACCCCCATGTTCATAGCAGCACTATTTACAATAGCTAAGATCTGGAAACAGCCCAAATGTCTATCAATAGACGAATGGATAAAAAGCTGTGGTACATATACACAATGGAGTACTATGCAGCTATAAGAAAGAAAGATCTCTCATCCTTTGAGATGACGTGGAGGGGCCTGGAAAATATTATCCTAAGCAAAACAAGCCAAACAGAGCAAGACAAGTATCATATGATCTCACTTATTTGTGGAATATAATGAACATAGCAGTCTGAGTAATGGGGTAGTCCCAGAGATGTGGAAGTGGGGTACAGACTGACAATCCCCAGAAGAGGGGGTTGTGGGGGAGAGAAAAACCACAGAACTTATATGCATGATGCATGAATGATGGACATGGACAACAAAGCTGGGGATAGGGTGGGGAGGGAAGGATAGGGGGAATCAGTGGGGGGAAAAGGAGAAACATCTGTACCAAAAATTAATTAATTAATTATTAATTAATTAATTAATTAATTAAAAAAGCTGAATAGATTGTGACAATGTAGATACTCAAAGTATTCATTAAAGAAGTATGGTGGTTAGAATGGAAAGTAGCATAATGGTTTAGCAAGGTTGGAGGAAATGTCTCTGTTTTATAGCAGGAGGAAGGCATGTACATATTTGTAAACCAAAACAAAAGGAACACTGGAGAGGGAAAATTGAAGATTTAAAAGGAATGTTGACCCTTTAAATGCAAAAATTACTACAGTAGATGAAGCAGCAGAGAAAGAAAGTTTCTAGTACATTCTTAGAAGACAGAAAGCAGTTGAAAGACTGGTAACTGACTCAAAAGATGGGAAGAAGTTAGAACCTATGTAGTGCAGGTTGGGGAAAACTGGTGAGATATGAGCCAGGTTACCACGTCAGACACCTGAGAGACTTTTCACTAGGGGCACCATCCTCTGCAGAAGCTGGTGAGGGTGTGTGTGTCTGTGTGGGTGTGTGGGTGTTAAAAATGAGGTCCCCAGGTTAGTTATCTTCTCTCTCCTCATCCAGTTAGACAAGAAGTGAGAGGTGTATTCTTGAGAGAAATTGAGCCAGAAAGTCTCTAGGCTGGGGGTAAGCAGGATAGTGAGTGCAGGAAAGAGTCATGGCACCAAAAACAGAGGAATAAAGTAAAATTTGATACTGAATTGTGTGACCCACACACACAGACCCTGCTTCCAGATTGTCTTCAGCCAGGGAAAAATCTTTACCTGTGGGGAAAAGGTAAATAAAAGGATTATATTCTATTCTAAAGCAGGAAATACCAGGACTTTATGGAGAGACTGCATGTGCCTAGAGACATAATCTTCCTACATTAACCTTTGAGGGATCTCAGTGAAATCCTCCAGTTGACTGTGCTTTGCAGTGTAGCTGATTCATTGATACTCTGTGCCAACATGTATAAACTTTGCAAAGTTTCAGTGTTTCTTTTTTTTTTTTTTTTTTATCCTTACCCGAGGATACTTTTCCATTTTTTGTACAGATAGAGTGGGAGGGAGAGAGAGAGAGAAACATCGATGTGAAGGGACACATCGAGTGGCTGCCACCCGCCCGACCAACCAGGGCCGGGGACAAACTGCAACCGAGGTACATGCCCTTAGCGGGAACCGAACCCAGGTCTCTCCGGACCGCAGGCCGACGCTCTAACCGCTGAGCCAAACTGGCCAGGGCTCAGTGTTTCATTCTTAAATATATATGGACTACAGTGAATCACCAGAAATTAGAGTATAGCTTCTAACATGGAACAGAGAGGCCAAACTATCAAACAGGAAAAACAAACCTGGATGAAATGGAGGCATTCAAGGATGCAGAGAAAAACATTTAAAAGCCCACCAACTTGCCCTGGCTGGTTTGGCTCAGCAGTTAGAATGTCAGCCTGTGGACCAGAGAGACCCGGGTTCGGTTACCGCTAAGGGCACCTCGGTTGCAGTCTGTCCCCGGCCTCAGCTGAGGTTGTGTGGGTGGCGACCAGTCAAAGTGTCTCTTTCACATCGGTGTTTCTCTCTCTCTCTTCCTCCCTCTCTCCTTCCTGCTCTATCTAAAGATAAATGCCCCCCCCCCAAATGTCCTCAGGGGAGGATAAAAAAGCCCACCAACTTGATAACATAAGAGATTTTAAATGCTACATCCAGGATGGTTTGAAAAAGAAAATTTTGGGGAAAAATTAACAAAAATTGATGTTTAATTGGGAAATATCCAAGAAAGTAGAATAAATAAGGAGATGGGAAAATATAAGAGAAAGGGTAAGAAAACTAAGTAGTTAATATAGAAGTTAAATAACTGTCCAAAAGAGAAGTTCCTGAAAGAGGGGATAAGAGAAAATGATATGGAGTAAATAATTTTTAAAAACTTACAAAAAATGTTTTTCTTAGTAATGTACAGCCCTTATTGAAAGGTGTGCCCAATACAATGAATGGAAGAAAAAGCCCAGGAAATAGTGTATTAGATTTTAGAACACTTGAGATAAAGTTATGATCCTAAAAGCATCAGTAGACCACGAATTGGAAGCAAGGCGAAAACACATTATTATCGCAGGTAGTGGTGGATGGGGACCTGCTGTATAGGTTGAAGTTTCCTTTTTAAACAGAGTTTTGATGCAGCTTGTTCAGAATTTCCACTTGGAAGTTTATGTTTTGGTGTCACCTCTCACCTAGATTTTATCCACCTTTCAAATTTATAGGTGGTCCCAAAGATAAATGGCAGACACAAATGCTGGTTGTTTTGTTTGTTTTTTAATGAACAACATTACTTGAAACCAGCATAGTAATGATCATTATACTGGTGACTTTTCAGTGAAAATGCAATATTAGAAGCTTGCTTTTATTTTGTTTTTTTGTTTTTTTTAATCCTCATCTGAGGACATTTTTCCATTTTTTGTACAGACAGAGTGGGAGGGAGAGAGAGGAAGAGAGAGAGAGGGAAACATCGATGTGAAAGGGACACATCGAGCGGCTGCCACCCGCACGACCAACCAGGGCCGGGGACAAACTGCAACCGAGGTACATGCCCTTAGCGGGAACCGAACTCGGGCCTCTCCGGACCACAGGCGGATGCTCTAACCGCTGAGCCAAACTGGCCAGGGCGCTTGCTTTTATTTTGATGCAATGAAAAAACAAATGATTTGCAAATCAATTTCTCACTTAAGAGGAGATATAATAATGTAGATGCGATAAAGTTGGTTGCCTCTCTTTTTTAACATCCTCAAAAAAGATGAAATTATATATATCACACATACACACGTACACACACACACTCACACACATTCATAAATGTGTATGTTACCCAGTAAGTAAATGAGAACTTTAGGCCAGCACAGCTTTTTCATATATTTTTTATTTTATTTTATTTTATTTTTATTTTCCTAACCATGTGACTTTGCCTTGAATGCAGAGTAAAACCAAAAGCCAGGGCTTCTCCAGGACAGTTTGGTTGTCAGTTTCCGTAGTTGTCAGTTTCAGTAGCCCTTAGTGTAATATTCGAAGTTAGCAGTTTGCCATCTCAATGCCTGGTGTTTTATTTACATAAACAGCTTCTGGCTTTGTTAGTCCTTAAGAGAATTCTTACCTGCTTTTCCTCATGGTTGTTGTTTTTCTTTTAAAAAAAAGCAAAATCCCTGCCTTACAGAGTTTTTACATACAGTGCAGGCAATTTTAAAACTCAGCTTGGAGAAATGTATTTCTCCTTGTTTGCCAGTGAAAGTCTAGATATGAGACATGTTCGCTGTAAATGGTTTCCCCCTGAGTTTCTTCCGTGTCCAGGGAGACTCGTGAAACAAAATTAAGGCAGAAGGATAGTGGACTGTCTTTTGGCTTTTCTCTGCTACCTAGAAAGAATGTGCTTATTTTATTTTCTTTAGGAATAAAAGACAAGCTAAAACCTCTTTGGAGTTTTTTGTTTTTTTTGTTTGTTTTTATCAGTGTTAAATTGATAGTAGGAATTCAGTATTAGGAGCTCATTTGCAAAAGTATGTATAAATAAAGCTTATTCTTTGGGAAATACACTTTTAATTGTTTGCAGGTTCTTTGAAATGCTTTGTACTTCTCTATATTGACAAAACCAAGAGGTACTATTTATTTCTTTCTAAATCTCAACTGTTTGCCAAACTGCAGAAATTCCGAGATGCTCCTCTGTTGGAACATCTTGTTGAATAAGGCCATATCATAACACAGTACTGTAGCCTACTCGCTTGCTTTTATATACCCCAAGCTTGCACTGCATCATACTTGAAGATATAAAAAAGGGAAAAACCAAAAATTGCAATTACATAGGTATGCTGCTTTCATACATCTGCTAAGTAGATTACTATGAAAAAGCATAATGAATCATAAATTTATGGAGAAAAATATGACTGAGATTGTGTATTACATAGAAGTTCATTCCTAGGTCTCCTTTCTTTGCCTTCATCGGTTTTCCCACAGTACTTCTGTTCTCCTCCACAGTAAGATGTTTCCTCAAGGCCTTCCTGAGGAGTATGCCATAGCAGCCGTGTTCCGTGTACGAAGAAGCACCAAGCAGGAACGGTGGTTTCTATGGCAGGTTTTAAACCAGCAGAATATGCCACAGGTGAGGAACCATGGAGCTGTGCTCAGGCTGAGTGCTTCTTGGAACTGTGCACAAATGCAGGAGCATCCTAATACTCTGTCCTTCAGAGGAATCATCGACAGGAAAGTTCGAGTGTTCTCTCAGTTAGGATGATCTTGCTGAAATCTGTAATATGGGAGTCTGATAGGTGAGACAGTATTAGTTTTCCTTTTTACTTCTAGATTCATATTTTGTCTAAAGACACTCAAACTGCCCTCCCATCCACTTTATTGACACTCAGTCCACTTCACTGATAATTTATCTGCAATCATTTCTGATATTATGTATTATTTTTAAAAGCCATTCATTGTTGCATCTGAAAATCCTTAGTGAACTAAGAGGGGAGATATGAATGTTGATCCTCTCAATAAAAATTTATTGAACACATGCTATATGCTAGTTAGTGACAAAGATAAAAGATTTTAAAAGTATAGTTTTTATTCTCAGGAGCATAAGGTCAAAGGAAATGTCATCTAGGAAAACAACATATTAGAGCACAGTCACAGTGTAACCAGTGCAGTGGCAGAGGTAAGCTCAGAGTTGGAGGGTGGGGATGATGGGAGCATAGAAAGGACAGCTGCCCATAGGAGGTGGGGAGAGTAAGAATCTAGGAATACTGTCAAAGAGATGGCATTTGGGCAGAAAGACAGGGGTGTGGTTGCTCTGGTGAGGGGAGATGAACCTTGCTTTTCCTTATTGGCATCATCCATTTGTGATCGCTTCTATACACATTCATTAAATTGACCTTTTAATATGTTAATACAGCCACAATTTTATGATAAAAAGATGCACTAAACTGATTCTGTCCTCTATGAAAATAATTTTCTCTACACCATGCAAATCATCTAAGTTTAAAGTTTATCTCAGTTTCTAAGCTAAGAGAAGTGATTATGTTCTTATTCTTGTAGAATTAGTAGCATTTAATTCTTGAATTACTCATTGAAATACACACACACACACACACTCTTAGATGTTCTGTCTAGAAAGAAGCATATTACATTCATCAGAATACTATATATTCAGACCATTTTGTAACTAGATATTTGCTGTTCTTTTATGTTAACCAATCTAGAGGTCACAGATGTCACCTAAAACCTTTTACTAAGTTCCTGTTATGCTAACATGAATGTTGAGTTTTTATTTGTGTACTTTAATCACTTTAAACACTGATATTAAAATATTTAAAGGTAATTTGAATTTTTGTAGATTTCTATAGTAGTTGATGGTGGAAAGAAGGTGGTGGAATTGATGCTCCGTGCTGCTGAGGGAGAAGTGTTGAACTACGTTTTTAAAAACCGAGAGCTCCGTTCTTTGTTCGATCGTCAGTGGCATAAACTTGGCATCGGTATACAATCCCGGGAAATTTCACTCTATATGGATTGTAGTTTAATTGCAAGCCGGCATACTGATGAAAAGGATGCTTTGGACATTCAAGGAAGGACTGTTATCACCGCACGAGCTTCAGATGGCAAGCCTGTGGACGTGAGTTGTGATGTTGGTTGAAAGAGAACCAGTCAGATTTCTAAATTAAAACAAAATATCTTATTTAAAACTTCTTCCTTTGGTTACTCTGTAATACATGGCCTTCTCAACACTGTTGCAATTAATTTACCATCAGACATGCGAAGGATAACTGTGTATTCCAACAATATTTTCACATATGTTATCTTCTATGTATTTTCACCCATTTTTTCCAGCCTATGAATTTAAAAGAATTGGGTCATGCCTTTAAAAATAAGATTATTAAAATTAAATTTTAGTAAAAGTGAAAATATAGTACAAGAAGTAAGCTTGGTGCTAGGCTTATGTTTTGAATAGAAAGCACTTGGAAAAGATGAACTTTAAATGGTTCCAGATTCTCTGTTTTCATTCAAGCACAGTGGGCTGTTTGTTCATCCTCAGAATAGCAACAGCTTTGTACTGCAGACTATTTTTTATGAGCTAGAATGATTTTTCAGGGTTCTAGTGTACTAAAACATAGCCACTGATTGTACCAGTTGGTCATTTGGATGAGAGAAGTTAGATAGTAAAATCCTTTTAGATATAAAGGTCCTTTCAAAATTACATTTGATGTTCAGATGATAAAGATTTATAACTGATTTCTCTAGAGAAGGTCTGTAATCTTTAAAAAGTGAGGTATATCTAACTTTGATGACTTTACATTTTCTTGTGGGTAGAATCATGAAAATCATATAAAAAGAATCTGAATGCAGGTCGCCAATAGGAATTGGTATTGCAGTTAAGCCAAAGCGCTTAACTGTTCAATTTTATTTTGAAAGTATAATTCTTTGCAGATATATATTTGGCCAGCTAATTTTACACACATGCATTTTTTTTTTCCAAAAAATATTATTTTTAAACTGTCTTCCCTTAGAGACAGTGAACACATCAGTGAAAATGCCATAACTGGGGCTCAGTGAAGATCAGCAAAATAGGCCAGAGCACAAGCCAGTCCTGGGGACAAGACATCACACATCTTGGAGAGTGAACTAGCTTGGGGATCAGACAGATGTGCTTGCAAATCCTACCTCATCTACTTAACTGTTATGATGTATCTTGTTAGCTGTTAATTTATTTGAGTCTCAGTGTCCTCAATTATAAGAGTGTTGATAGAATCACTTGTTATTGTATAGAGTATTGCTGTAGTGCCTAGTACTTGGTCAGTTCTCCATAAATCTATTTATTTATTCAGGACCAGACATGGCATTCAACCTTAGCATAAGAAAGTAGGGAAAAGAAAGAATACCTTCTATTCCTGCTCTCAAAGTTCTTAAAGGCTAATGGAAGGATTAAAGTCTATGACAGTAAATGGTTGCTGCTGATAAAAACAGTATTAATTAAAGTAACAACAATACTAGCCAGAGCTTTCAGAAAGGTATCTCCAAAGGCAAGGGAGGAAGTGGAGACCAGTGGCTGGAACAACAGAAGTATGACTCCCAGCAGCAGTTGGAATATAGGCAGACTGGAAATTAGCTCCAGGGAATTGTAGCAACAGTAGTAGGTAAAGGCAGTAATACCTGCGGCATGTACCAGACTTTGGGACTAGAATCTGGTCCTTATAGGACTAGTGAGAGAAGTGGGCTTTGGTCTCAGAGAAACTAAAAGAACCAAAGAGTACACTAAGATAAAATCATAATCTTCAGGGAGAAACAGCAACAAATTATTGTAAGAGTGGGGTCCAGGCTCAGAGCTCATCCTCTGAAGGTTGAGTGTCTATCCTGTGGCATTAACTTCTCACCCAAGGAAAGAATTAAACCAGAACCTGAGGCTGAAGAATATCAGGTGTGTCCTTATAAAAACACAGATTTGAAAATTACAATGTTATAGTAGTTTTGTAGTTCAATATGGAATCTTTTCATTTAAGGATAAAATTAAAGGCGAATCACAATGCTGTAGCTTTTTCAGGAGATAGTCACTCTTTAAGTTAAATAAACAAATAAAATACTAAATGAAAAATGCTAAAACTTTAAGTGGAGTAATTTTTATTATCTCCTTGCAAGTTCTGTGATTCATAAGACCAGTTGTTGTATAAAAATGTTTCGTTTATTCAGAACGTATGTTATTGAAAAAATTCTAATGATTGTGTTTTATTTTACATATATTTCCCGTGTGCTTTTATCAGAGATAGGTGATAAAACTGATATAAAGGATTTTTATAAAAATATGTTTTTATTGCTTTCAGAGAGAGAGGAAGGGAGAGGGAGAGGGAGAGAGAGAAACATCTTTGAGAGAGAGCAAACATCTATTTGCCGCCTCCTGCATGCCCCCTCCTGATTGGGAATTGAACCTGTGACCTCCTGGTGCATGGGGTGACACTCAACCAACTGAGCCACACTGGTGGGCAGGATTTTTTCAACTAAATATACTGTGTGATAAGGGTCAGTAAAAGATTTAGCCCTAAACATTTTCATTCTAAAGCACTGTGTTAATGAAAGACTTGAAAATAACTAATGAACAACAAAGGTATGATTAAACTAGGTCAATTATAGTTTCAGTGTCATGGCTACTTGATGAGATTCCAATAAAAAAAAAATTGACCATCTCTCTTCATTTAAGTAACACAATTCACATGAAGGGCTTAGCACAGTGGATGGTACATAATAGAATTTCAATATTTATTGACTATGTTGATAACAACGATGATAAATAAGTTTTAGTTAAGAAAATGAATTGTTGTCCCCCTTCTTCATTCGACATAATGGGTATATTACTGCTTGGAATTTCATTAGCCTATGTAAGACAGCGTATTTAAACTTTATAAGTAAAAAATAATTTCATTAACCATGCAAAAAGTTATACAAAAGAAATTAAATTTTCTTTCATCTCAGAATTTTGCATTGGCTGCAAATCTTAGGTCATGAACTCACAAGATGTCTGAAGTTCTTAATACTTCCAATGAACTGAACTGATTTGTTCATCTCAGTGTAGACTATTAGTTATAGCACTTTGCCTTTTTTTTGGGGGGGGGGTGATTTAGAACTGCAGATATCTGCTTTCTATTATCATAACATTAATTATCATAATATTACAGTTGGGTCTTTCTGTAGAAAGTACTTATTGACTTCAAAGTAATGTATAATCTAGCTCTGTTATTGTGGGAGACAGAGAAGATGTGGAGAGAGGCAGAGGGAGGGAGACTAAGGCAGGGAGGAGTGGTGGACAGAAGAGGTTGCTCCTGACCTGTTTTATATGTCCAATCATCATACAACTAATTATTAATTAAATTATTAAACTTTCAACCACAAAGATTTAAAATGGCTTATTTGTAACAAAAATAAATTAATAAAATAGCTTATTTATGTGCCTCTTATATTGAAATTTTATTAATAGTCTGTACTATTTACTTGCTTTTGTTTGATTGTTTGACCTTGCATTTAAAGGCATGATAGTATTTTCCTTGAACTACTTTAATTTCATGTTCAAATGCCAAAAACTATGAATCTGTGGAGCAGATTAATAGAAGGTATCAGTTATTTTTGTAAAGATTGTGAGTCCTGCTCATAGTCAAGACTATGCCCATTTTATATAAAATCCATAGTTATTAGACAGAATGCATGAAAAACAGATTAAAAACTAAACACCTTTTTTTTTTCTTATTAGGAAGTGACTATCTTTTTCATTTCTCAAATAGATCTGGAACTACAAATGAATTGTTTTCTATCATGTGCTCAGACCTTTTACTTTTTACTTTACTTGTTTTCCCAGAATATTTATTTTCATTATCTTCATTTTTGTGGGGATATACTTTATTATAGTGAATAGCAATATCTTTCTTTAATTAAATATTTCTTTTTTATTATTTAAACTTTAAAATAACTAGCAAAGGTTTGCAATTTTTTTAATTCCTTGATTTCCACTATATATAGACTGATCTTGATAACTGAATCTGTTTCTCAAATGGTCCATCAAAATCATGCTCCTAAACTAATAAAAATATTAAAAATATCTACTGGTAATTTATTTGTATTAGCTTCTTTTTTCTTACCACTTAAATTGCCACGATTTTTAAGTGCCTAAATGTGATTTCCTAAAAAACTAATGATATATCTTTTACTAATTTTTTAATAGATTGAACTTCACCAACTTAAAATCTACTGTAACTCAAACTTCATAGCTAAAGAAACTTGTTGCGAAATACCACATACTAAGGTAAGTTCATTTTCTTGGCATGTGAAGAATGTAGAATGCCAGTTGCCTAGTCTATAGAATCCAAAAGTAGGGCAGCACTGAGCACCTTCTGTTCAAGCCGTGTGAGTAATTTGTTCTAAGTAAGAGCCCCATCTTAGAGCTTTCCCATAGTTTCTGCTAAATATTTTAATCCCAGCCTTCCGTCCTGAACTTTGGGAATAATATATCTTCACTTTGGATGCAACATAAGTAAAAGAGAATTTATGCTTTTCTCCCTCAACTATGTTGTAACAGTAGAATCATAGTTCTCCAGGTACAGGGTTGTTAAATGTGTGATCATACCTTATTCACATTCATTTCCCTCCTCTAGCCTGTCTCCTGGATAGTTTACTTTTGTGATAGATTTTTCATCTGCATCTTTCTTTTTCCTGTGACTATCATGCTCCACCTTTGCCTATTTCCTAGATTGTTGCATTATTGTCTCAACTGCCCTACCTGTCTTCAGCCCTTTTGCTTTCCAGCATAACCAGAATAAGACTCTGAATCGCTGCTTTGTATATTCATTTTCTTTCTTCCACTAAACATTTATTATTCAATGACATTGATCGTCTAGACATTGTGTTAAGGAACAAGGCATACAGACATAAACAAGGCATAGTCTCTGCCCTCTACTCCTCTTTCTCAAAGCCTTTGATTGTTCACTGTTGGCAACAAAATATAAATCCAGAATAGACCCAGAGACATAGAAATAGTAGGGTTCAGACTGACAAATCTCAGAGGAGGGGTCGGGGGGAGAGGGAAGAGATAAACCAAAGAATTTATATGCATATATGCATAACCAATGGACATAGGCAACAATGCTGTTGGGGTGGGGGGAATCGGGAGAAAGGTGTCTATGGGGGAAAAAGGAGAAACGTCTGTAACAAAAATAAATTTTATATATCTCCAGTTTCTTAGCCTCTCATTCTTAATATTTCCAACCTAACTGTACAACTATTACTTTATTGTACCAATCTTCTATTCCAAAGAAATTCCAAATTTAATCATTTCTATCTTTCTCATTGTGATGGTCATGTGTGCCATCTTATATTATTAGATATAGCTGTAATTTATTCAACTACATTTTAAACTCATTGAGGGGATTTATATTTCTGTACTTTAAAAAAAAAATGACTAGTGCTTTGTTTTTAGAGGATAGTCAAAACATTGTTTCATGACTTGTTGACTAACAACTACTGAAGGAGATTGATGGGACAAAAATGTGTTTGAAAGGGATAACTTTCAAGACACCTTATAGAAAGAACATATGAAAAGTAAAAGTAAAGGGTGAAAATGTTTTTCTTTGTATCTCAGATTTTCCAGAAGTTCTACACGCAACCATAAAAATTTATATGAAAATTTTTATCAATAGTTAAAAATGTTTTTTGCTTTATTGATTTTTAGAAAGGAAGGGAAAGGGAGAGAGAGAGATAGAAACTTTGGCCACCTCCTGCATACCCCACACTGGGTATCGGGCCCACAACCTGGGCTTGTGCCCTGACTGGGAATCGAACCGGTGATCACTTGGTACATGGATTAATGCTCAACCACTGTGCCACAGCAGCGGGGCTTATCAATAGTTTACTAATGCAAAAAATATTTTTATTTTTTATCACTCATTATGTGTTATAGGATAATAATGTGACCAGTTGACTCAAAGCAAGCTAAGTCTTTGAAACTTTTATGTTTTGCTTATGTAACTTGTTTTATAAAGCATATCTCTAATTCAGTTTATGGCTCTTATTCCCAGTAAAATGAAAGCTAGCCAAATGTCTTTCTATAAATATCTAAAAGGATAATTTAGAATGCCAATCTACAGACTTGAATTACCTAGACTTCGTGGAGTCACACATTTATATCTTGAAGATGTTAATTCTTCAAAAGTTTTTTTAAAAATAATCATGCTTTTGTGATGTAAGAGCTCTTAAAATAATAATTTTTTTGTGATTGAAAAGTAACAATGATGGTTTGATATATCCAAATAATATATTTTTGATCAATAATTAGTACTCTGTGTTATCACAGAGTATAGACATTTTCAACTCAAATGATGAGAAAACTGTTTAAGGCAGTATAGGTGATGGATTTGATAGAGTAGATTATTAAAAGTAGTGACATGACTTCACAAATTATGAAAAATAATTTAAATTATGTTTCAAAAATACTATTTAGGAGTTAGTTTTAAAGAGTAGAAAATAAGGTAGAAATTCATCTCTAACTATGGGAAAAAAACACAAAAGACTGTTTATTTTTCTGCTGATAATTATTTGGAGGAACGTCAACATTCTGTTAATGATTAACAGAAAATAGAACATGTTATGTTTTGCAAATAGAAATGCATAGTTTGGAAGATAAATAATTATATAAAAGCCACTTAAGTGCATCTGCTATAATTCTGACATCAACTGTTGTTTTGGGTGTTTTTTTTTTTAATGTGTTGAATTTAGAAAATTGTAACATACTTGCTTAAAAATCTAATTTTGTCCTGGAAATTCAAATTAGAGATGTTTTTTATTACTAATTTTTATAGCATATTTCAAAAATGAAGTTTATTCAAGATAACCTATAAATATACTTCTTTACTTCTATTGATTGATTCAATTTTCAGTTTCTAAAGCAGTCCAGTTTCATAACTGCAGATATAAAATGAACAAATATGAACAGAAGGAGGAAATCAGGAACATTTGCTGAAAGTAAATGAGAAATTTGATTAAAATGTTGAGGGCCAATTAATTAAATATGTGTCAAATCAAAACCAGAGATTTCACAAGGGGAGAAATACTTACTTGTACATTTTATGTTTCCTTTAGGTAATTTTTGGTGTGTGTGGACAGTTTTATAGTGAAGCCTGAGATGTACTTTTAAAATAATTTAAATCTCCAATTAATACAGTTAATCATTTATCAATAGCAAAAGTGTAAACTTACTGGATCTCGATTACCTGACTGGGAACCAACCTATGGGGCAAGAATTGGCTAGAAAATTATATCAGATTATATGCACTAAAGGAACTATTTTGGTGATAATCGTATCATTCTAATGTATTTCTATGCTGTGGACTTGGAACATACTAAGATAGCTAATCATTGAATCTGGAAAGAGTCAATGTGATAGAACAAGTGGGAAGAGAAGAAACTAGTCACAGTGTTACTGGGTGCTATTTTTCTTACATTCTTTTATTGTTCTCACAAGCATTAGAGTACTACCCAGTTTTCAAAATGATTTGTAATTTTTTTTAAGTTATGCATGTTTATTATAAAAAAACTTAGAAAATATAGCCAAATTCAGAGACAAAATTAATACCAACCATGATTTTACCACAATAAAGAACCATTGACAATCTTTTAGTTTTGTATTCTGACCGTATTTTTCATGCACATCTAATTTGTAGTATACAAAGTCATATGTGAACTTCTTCCCCTAAACTGCAAATTCAGAGTTATGAAATTACAAATTCCAAGTTACAAACTGTGGTGAGGAGGGAGCCTGGTGAAGGATGTTGGGATGAAAGGATGGGATGTGTTTGTCCTCTGTAGACTCCCCATCTGGATTGATTTTTTGAGAGAAAAAGTTCATTGCTTTGTAACCAAATTTGTCTTTAATGTTGTCCCAAATGTAGTGTACCCACTGGATAAATATAAAATTCACCACTTGTCTGTTACAATGGAAACTTTTTTTTATACTCACCAGAGCACATTTTTCCATTTTTGTTCAGATAGAGTGGGAGGCAGAGAGAGGAGGAGAGAGAGAAGCATCTATGTGAAAGGGACACATCGAGTGGCTGCCTCTTGCACAACCCCAACCAGGGCTGGGGACAAACCGCAACTGAGACACATGCCCTTGACCAGAATCAAACCCACAATCCATTGGTCCGTGGGCTGACGCTCTAACCGCTGAGCCAAACCAGTCAGGGCCAGTGGAGACTTTTTAATAACTTTAAAGGACAATGGACTAGAATAAGATATACTTTCATTAAATATATAACATCTTACAGTGTAAAAGAGAATTTATTTTCTACTTTTACATGCCTTTACAATCATCTTGTTGAAGTAAACTATGTCTTAAAAGTTCAAATTGTATTATTTTATTTTAAATTGTGTTCCTAAAACATATACAGATATTATTTGTATAAATTATTTTATTGTAAAATTCAATTATTATACATGTTTGTTATTACTGTATTTGTCATAAAGTCACCTGTAGCCTGGCCGGTGTGGCTCACTGGTTGAGTGTCAGTCCATGCACCAAGAGGTTTCAGGTTCAATTCCCAGTCATGATACATGCCCAGGTTGTGGTCACGATCCCTGGTGGGGGTCATGCAGGAGGCGGCCAGTTGATGTTCTCGCTTGCTGATGTTTCTCTCTCTCTCTCCCTCTCACTTCCTCTCTCTGTAAAGTGAATAAAGAAAAAATATTTTAATAAATAAATAAATAAAGTCACCTGTAATAGCTTTAAAATGTCTCACCAAAACCAACACGTTGATGCATCTCTAGTGCTATCAGCATAATAAAGCAGATAGGGGAGTGGATGAAAGGGCAAAGGCATTATAAAGTTTCATATACTAATGTCAAGTTTTGGTTGATTAGAAGGTAGTTCTAACAGGTGACGCCAGTCATTCCTAGTTTGGCGGGAGCCAGTGTTTAGAATGTCAGGATGTTTGGAATTTGCCCCATTTCCTAAGGCCTCTTTTTGGATTTTAGTGCCCAGAGCAAGATGGCATTGGAAGTACTGCATCATCATCACTACCTGCTCAGGCCAGCAAAGTGTCTGCATATCTGCCAGCAAAGCAGGAACGTGAAGACCAGTGTCAGTGCATTCCAAACAAGGTATGCTAGTATTAGTCTATGCCCACTGAAAAGCCACTCCACAGGGTGAGCCAGGCCCCTTGCGTGGGACCCTAGTGCCTAGAATGCGCTATCCTTTAGTGCTAGTTACATTACATGCTTAAGCCACTCAGTCATGGGGGTAGGTTAAGAGAAGGGGACTGGGGATAGGATTTCTGGGTTTTTATCTGGATGGTTCTGGTTCCGAGCCCATCAGACCTTCTTTTCAGGGCATGACTTAGAAAGAATAGGAAGGTGAAGAGAGGAACAACCTGTACAACAGACAGTGTTAGGTACTTAACGTGTGCCAAGAATAGGCTTCAGTTCTGCGCATTCACAGTTGAAGTGCCTGCTCTTCAACACATATACAAAGGCACCACAGAGTATGTCTTTGTTGTGCGCAGACTGTATTTGTCCAGTATCCCCAACTTATGGTGATCTCCTTCTGCCATAAGTTGTATGGGAAATACTTAAAGAATTTGTTTCCCTTGTACTGGTATCGTCCCCCGTGAGAAAAGCTGGGCTCATGAACCTACATCCACTCCTTTTCTGGATATTAATGGCAGTCATGGGGCCTGTGCTAAGAGTAGGCTGAGGGATCTCTTGATGGCCTTCCTCTTTGCCTAAACCCAAGGAAAGAAAAACTTGCCACAGTGCCTCAAGCAGGATGTCCCCTGGCACTGTGACCTAAAACATGCCCTAGGATTTAACACACCCTGCTACTGCTTCACCCCTGGCTGGAGGAGTGGGATTGGGGTTAGGTGAAAGTTTAGAGGAATCTTACATTTTCTCTAGCAATTAATGCTGTACAGTAAACTCCGTTGAAAGTCAAGTACAAGGTGCAGGGGCCCCCTAGAGGAGCAGCACAGGTCCCAGTCCATGGAAGGTCGCATGGAGATCATAAGGGAGAGTAGTGAGCCTCCTGAGCAAGGGAAGGTGGACGTTCCAGCAGAGGTCCCAGCATCAGCTCAGAGGGGAGCAAAGCTTTACCTTACTATTGTTGGCGTAATGTTTATAAACCACTTGTCTTTAGCTCAGTGTGACAGAATGTTTGATAACAGAAATTCATTTTTGCTCAGGGAGAAGCAGGATTACCCGGAGCACCAGGCTCACCTGGTCAGAAAGGGGATAAAGGAGAACCGGTAAGACACCACACAACACTTTTGGGATGAAAGTAAATTTGTTCAAAAGTGACTTAAAAATATGTCCATCTCATTTTTTTATGTCCCAGACAAATGCACATTTTTGTTAAAGAATATCAAGGATTATGTTTAAATGCTGATCTCTGAAATCAGAAAGACTACATCAGCATTCAAGTCTGCTTTGAGTTACTATTAGAAGGCTGGATTAAAATTTCAAAAGTTCTGGAAATCCAAAACTTTGTATTTGTAAACAGGAAGCAAAATTGTGCAGCAAAAAAGTTTAGCATTTAGTTGTGCCCTAGGCTTCTTTAACATTCTGTTTTTCAAATACTTGAGTTCTTGCTTCTCTAGTCTGCTGATGGGTTCCCACTGAAGTCTTTCTTAACTTAATAAATGTATAACCTTCACCCAATTCTCTCACCTCTCCCACTGCCTCCGCCTCTGGCAACTACCAGTCTGCTCTCTGTATCTATGGCTTTGTTTTCTTTTTTTAGATTCCACTTGTAAGAGAGCTCATAGTATTTGTCTTCTTTGTATGACTCGTTGCATATGTATGTGTGTGTATACCCATGCATGCACACACATACACCACAATTTCTTTATCCATTCATCCATCAATGGACATTTAGGTTGTTTTCCTGACCCGGCTTTATTAAATAATGTTGCAATGAACATGGGGGTGCTTATATCTTTTAAGGTAGTATTTTTGTTTTCTTTGGATAAATATGCAGAAGTGGATTTGCTGAATCAAAAGTCCTTCTATTTTTAGTTTTATGAGGAACTTCCATACTGTTTTCCATAGTTGCTGCACCAATTTACATTTCTACCGACAGTGCACAAGGGTTTCCTTTTCTCCACATCCTTGTCAACACTTGTTAATGTCTGTCTTTCTGATAATAGCCATTCTAACAGGTGTGAGGCAAAATATCTGTGGTTGTAATTTTCATTTCTCTGATTACTAATGATGTTGAAAATCTGTTGGCCATCCATAGGTCTTCTTTGTCAAGTCAGGTCTTCTGCCCATTTTTTAATCAGATTGTTTGTGTTTGCTATTGAATTGCATGCATTCTTTACAGGTTTTGGATATTAACCCCTTATCAGATATATGATTTACAAATATTTTCTTTCATTCAATAGGTTGCTTTTTCATTTTGTTGATGGTTTCATTGCTGTGCAGAAGTTTTTTAATTTGATAAAATCCCACTTGCTTTTGCTTTTGGTACCACATTAGAAAAAAAAAATCTTCAAGACCTATGTTGAGCAGTTTTATTGCCTATTCTTTCTTCTATGAGTTTTATGGTTTCAGGTCTTACATTCAAATCTGTAATCAATTTTCATTTAATTTTTGTGTATGGTGTGAGATAGTGGTCAAGTTTTTTTTTGTTTTTTTGTTTTTTGTTTTTTGTTTTTGTTTGTTTGTTTTTGCGGGTGGGTGTCCAGTTTTCCCAACACCATTTATTGGAAAAACTGTTCTTTCAACATTGTATATTCTTGGCTCCTTTGTTGTAAATTAATTAATCGCATACATGTGGGTTTATATCTGGGCTCTCTAGTCTGTTCTATTGATCACTGTGTTTTATGCCTATACTATACTGTTTTAATTACTATAGCTTTATGGTATAATTTAAAATCAGGAATCATGATACCTCTAGCTTTGCTATTCTTTGAAGATTGCTTTGGCTATTTGATGTTTCCTGTGGTTTATACTAGTTTTAAAATTATTTGTTTACTTCTTTTAAAAAAATGCATTGGGATTTTGATAGGGACTGCATTGAACCTGTGGATTACTTTGGTTAGCATGGACATTTTAACAATATTGATGCTTCCAATCCATGAGCATGGAATGTCTTCCCATTTTTTTTGTATATTCTTCAATTTCTTTCATTAATGTCTTATAGTTTTAATATATAGGTCTTTTACTTCCTTGGTTAAACTTATTTCTAGGTATTTTATTCTTTTTATGAAGTTGTAAATGGGATTGTTTTTATTTCTTGTTCTGGTAGTTTATTATTAGTGTATAGAAAAACAACAGTTTCTTTGTGTGTGTGTTGCATTTATATCCTGTGACTTTACTGAATTTTTTTTTTAGTTTTAACAGCTTTTTGATGGGGGTCTAGGGCTTTCTATATATAGTATTCTGTTATCTGCAAATAGTGACAGTTTCACTTCTTTCCAATTTGGATGGCTTTTTTTTTTTTTTTACTTAATTGCTCTTGCTAGGACTTTCAGTACTATGTTGAAAGTGGTGAGAGTGAACTTTCTTGTCTGATTCCTGCTCTTAGAGGAAAGGTTTTCAGATTTTTACTATTGTGTTTGATGCTAGCTGTGGCCTTCTCATATGCTGCCTTTATTACGTTTAGGTATTTTCTGTCTATATTTACTTTGTTGTGAGTTTTTATCACAAGTGGATGTTGAATTCATTAAATGCCTTTTCAGAATCTATAGAGATGATCATGTAGATTTTATGCTTTATTTTGTTAATATAGAATATCACATTGCCTGATTTGTGAAAGTTGAACAATCCTCACATCCATGAAATAAATCCCATTTGATCATGATCTATGATCCTTTTAATGTATTGTTGAATTTGGTTTGCTAATATTTTGTTGAGGATTTTAATATCTATGTTCATCGGGGATATTGGCTACAATCTTATTTTGTGGCGTACTTGTATGGTCTTGGTATCAGGGTAATGTTGGCCTCATAAAATGAATTTGGAAGACTTTCCTCCTTTTTTGGAAAAGTTTGAAAAGAATTGTTATTAATTCTTTGAATATCTGGTAAAATTCACCAGTGAAGCCATCTGGTCCCATGCTTTTTTTTTTGTTGGGAGATTTTCAACTACTAATTTAATTACCTTGCTAGTAATCTCCAGGTTCAGATTTCTATTTTATCATGATTCAGTCTTGGTAGGTTGTATATTTCTAGGAATTTATCCATTTCTTCTTGGTTGTCAAATTTGTTAGTATATAATTTTTCACAGTAGTCTTTTATGATCCTTTGCATTCCGTGATATCAGTTGTATCATCTTTTTAAATTCTGATTCTGTTTGAGTCCTCTCTCTTTTCCTTGGTGAGTCTAGTTACAGACTTGTCAATTTTGTTTATCTTTTCAAAGAACTAGCTCTTAGTTTTGTTGATCTTCCCTATTCCCTTTTTAGTCTCTATTTCACTTATTTCTGCTCTATGCCATTTCCGTCCTTCTTCTAACATTGAGCTTCCTTTGTTCTTCTTTTTCTAGTTTATTTTAGGTATAGTTAGATGGTTTATTTGACACTTTTCTTGTATCTTGAAGTAGGCATTTATTGCTATGAACTTTCTTCTTAGAACTGCTTTTGCTGCATCCCACAAATTTTGGCATGTTATATTTCCATTTTTATTTGTCTCAAGGTTTTTTTTTTCTTTGACCTATTGGATGTTCAGCAGCATGTTGTTTACTGTCCACATATTTGTGAATTTTCCAGTTCTTTAATGTAATTAATTTCTAGGTTCATACTATTTGGGTTAGAAAAGATGCTTGATATGATTTCAGTCTTCTTAAATTTATTAAGATTTGTTTTGTAGCCTAATATATACTTTGTACTAGAAAATGTGTCATGTGCACTCAAGAAGAATATGTATTCTGTTGCTTTTGGATGGAATATTCTGATCATGGTTTATGATCCTTTTAATGTATTTTTGAATATGTTTTGCTAATATTTTGTCGAGGATTTTCATCTAAGTTCATCAGGGATATTGGCCTGTAGTTTTATTTTCTTGTGGCTGGTTTTTCTTGCCTGCTGATGTGTCCCCACTGAAGATTTTTCCTTAGCTCCCTACCTTTTATATAAACAGCGCATCTTTGTTGAACATCTTCTCTGTGTAAGACATATTGCTAGGTGGTATAGGAGACTGAAAGAACAGGACTCATTCTCTGTTTTCAAGGATTTTACATCTGGAAAGGGATAGAGGGACGTTAGTAGGCCATATATATTAGGTATAGGAGAGTTGCAGATGTCCTGCGAGAATGGTCTGTGAAGACTGAGGAGAGTTTTATGGGGAAGATGGAGAGTAATCTGGACCTCTAAGGATATAATCCTAGGCAATATCCATGCTTATGGATTTCCTTTTCCTTCTCCCCACTCTTCTCAAAACTTAGCTGTTCTGTTTCTCACTCTTTAGTGTCATGTCTTTTGTTAGCTAACTAGGTAAATTAATTTGTGCTGAAGTTTTTGTTTTCTTTCTAGGAGATGATTATGTTTTTGTTATTTTTCTAGGTTGAAACACATTTAAATTCCTTTCACACCTTAAGAGTTCATGATTCTTTTTTAAAAAGTTTTTTAAATTGTTGAAACTATTTCAGATGTCACTGATTCTCCACCCCTCTCCTACCCACCCAGCCCCTGCACACCCCCTTGGCCTTCACCACACTATTGTCTGTGTCCATGGGCTATTCACATATATTCTTGGATAATCTCTTCACTTTCTTTTATCCAGTTCTCCTCACCCCTCTCCCCTTGAGATCTGTCAGTCATCGATCTATGCCTCTGGTTCTATTTTGTTGGTCAGTTTATTTTGTTCATTAGAGTCCACATATGAGTGAGATTGCATGGTATTTGTCTTTCTCTGACTAGCTTATTTAACTTAGCATAATAATCTCCAGGTCCATTTACTTTGTTACAAAGGGTGAGAGTTCCTTCTTTGTTACAGCTGCATAGTATTCCATTGTGTAAATGTACCACAGCATTTTATCCACTCCTCTATTGATGAGCACATAATTTATTTGGACTACTTATTTTATGCCCTAGCCAGTTTGGCTCAGCAGTTAGAGTGGCAGCCCATGGACCAGAGAGTCCCGAGTTTGGTTCTTGCTAGGGGCATATACCTTGGTTGCAGTTTGTCCCTGGCCTCATTGGGCTCATGTGGAGGTAACCACTCGATGTGTCTCTCTCACATTGATATTTCTCTTTCTTTCTCCTTCTCTCTCTCCTTCTATATCTGAAGATAAATGCAAAAATGTCC